GAAGAAAACATTTGTATCATCAGCAAAGATGCGGAAAGAGAGTTTTTTTGAGCATGCACTTATGCATATCATTTATATAAAGCAAAAATAATAGTGGCCCTAGGGTGGAACCTTGCGGGACACCGCAGGTCGTAGTAAGCATCTCAGATTCTGTTTGCCCTATTTTAACGTATTGCCTTCTGTTTTCTAAATAGCTTTTAAACTATAATAATTGATTCCCACGAATTCCATATTTCATTAATTTGGAAGCTAGAATTTCATGATTAACAGTATCAAATGCTTTCGAGAAATCTAAAAATAAACCACAGGTAATCAACTTATTATCAATAGCGTTATTTAAATTTTCAGTAATTTCAAGAATAGCCTGTTCAGTAGAACGAACTGACGTTCAAAGAGAACATTGTTTTTTTTTCAAGAAAATGCAACAGTTCATCGTAGACAATACGTTCAAGAGTTTTACTGAATGGGGATAGATTAGAAATTGGCCTATAGTTATTAGCCTATATAGTTATTAGGATCTGTTAGGACACCCGATTTGTAAATAGGGGTAATTCTAGATATTTTAAACAAATCAGGAACAATACCCATTCTAATTGATTGATTATATATGTATGAAAAGGGTATTGCAAGTTGGCTACTTGCTATCTTATTTGGAATATTTAACGATGCTTTATTTTCATTCAAATCATTAAAAAGTTTCATTACCTTAGATGGAAGAACTGGAGACATAACAAAACTAGAAGTTGGGGAATTATCAATAAGGCTAGTTGGATTACCATTTACACTTGGAATTTTGCTTGCGAGACTTTGTCCTACATTAACAAAATGTTCATTAAACTCATTAGCTATGTCGTAAGTATTTGAAAATGTCTTATTATTCCTTATAAGACTTGTTGGTAATTGCTGAGCCTTGGCCTTTCTTTTAATAATGGTTCCAATTAATTTCCAAGTAACCTTTAAGTTATTTTTACACATTTCAAAATTACTTTTATAATACATCATTTTACTTTTATTTTTAATTACATTTAACTTATTAGCAAAAGTTTTATAAGCGCGCATTTTAATTGTATTATTAGAGTAGAAATGCGTATAATACATCTTTTGTTTCATTTTAATAGATTTAAGTATACCATTCGTTATCCATGACTTAATTAGCTGCTTATTTTTACTGCGCGAGGCCAACTTTATTGGAGCATGTTTATTTATAACGGAAGTCAATATATCCGTGACTCTAGCAGTTACAGTATTTAGATCAGATGGAGTATCACCATTTGAAATACTACTCCAGTTAATCAAATTTATATCATTTAGGCATGCTTCTTTATTGAAGGCACTGTAGTCCCTGTAGTAATGCCTTTCCTTAATTCTTTTTAGTTCCATATTAATTAAACAAAGGACAGGTAAATGGTCAGATAGATCAAAAAGCCCAATCCCAGATGTGATATTATCAAGAGGGGCATTGTTATATATATATATATATATATGTGGTCGATAAGAGTTTTCGAGTGATCAGTTAATCGAGTGGGTTTGGTTATGATTGGTAAAAAGTTATTAGTATACAGCATATCGAAATATGCTTCTGTAGGATGGTGTTTAGTAAATTGAAAAAATCAATATTTATATCACCTAATAGGTAAACTTGATATTTACATTCATTTAAAGGCTTTATGCAACGAATTTTTCGATGGTGAGATTTTTGCATTACGTTATAGAGTTCTTTGCACTGGTTCGAAAGATGCAAACCGTTTTCCTAAGTTCCAAGTAGTTTTATTTTTATAAGCCTTCAAAGTCGCGAATTTTGCCACTTTCTTTGCGAAAAAAAATGACCTTTCGTGATCGGTGGTGTGACGTCACAGTAAGGAGTTGTCAATTTCATGCTGCAATATGGCGACTACTTCAGGAAGCGCTGTGGCCAAGTCTTCTCGATATTATGGCCGATCTTGCGTTGCTGGTACACACAGCGGTGCCAGTTGTACTAACACGCAGTATACTGAGGGTGTTTCTATGCATTGTTTTCCTGACAAAGAGAAATATCCAAAGCAGCATCGAGAATGGTTGCGTTTTGTTCGGCGACACCGGCCCGGCTTTGTTCCTTCGAAACATTCACCTCTGTGTTCTATTCATTTCGACGACAGTTGTTACGTTACTCGGAGAGACATAGCAAAATATTTAGGAATTAGAGTGGTGCTTAAACCAGACGCTGTTCCAACAATCGATGCAGCAATAAAAGCCGAGGAAAGAACGGCAACGATCAGAGAACGTAAACAGGTATAAAATAGAATGACGCCATATTTTGTGTGTTGTTTAAATATTATATATTATGTCATGTTTGTCTGGCGTTTCGTTTGTCGCCGCAATGATGTTTTCTGCTACGAATAAAGGCGTGTTTTATAATTTCTCAATATTTCAGGTGATAAGATCTCTTGTTCAAGAAGAAACGTCCGGTGCTGCGACTTCTCAAGCCAAGTCAGAAGCTCTCGAAGTTGAAGGCGAAGCCACACAAGAGGTGCACGAACACGTAGCGTCAAAACCACAAGAAACAGTAGAAAGTCCAGTTGAAGAAAAGGAAGAACAAATCAAGTCGTTAAAAAAGAAAATCCACTCTATGCAGAAAGAAAATTGGGCTCTCAGAAAACAAAAAAGATCACTGCAGACTGCATTTAATAAAGTTAGTTTTCTTTGCCAGTATAAAACTCTATTGAGACTATAAATTTGAATGAAATGCGTGAATGAACCCTGAAGTAAATGTGTAAAGAATAATTTTTATGAGTCAACAAATACTTTCCAAATAATCTATCTCCATATAGGAGTAACCTTAATCCTATACATGCACAATTATTCTTTTAATTTTGTAGGCAAAAGAAATGGAAGACCAGCCAAGCACAAGCAAGAAGGATGAATTGTCCACAGAGGCAGAGCCCTACTTGGAGGACTTTAATGTGGAGGAGCCAACAGATGCTTCCACAGAGGACACGGATTGGTCGTCAATGGAAAGTTACCATCTATCAGCAGATGAGTCTGAGGATATTGATGACAATGGCGACAATGTTGACATGACGAGAAACACTGTAAGGTACAGTATGGATGTTAACCATTAGGCTGCAATGGGCCATTCCATTTAATACAGCCCCCCCCCCACCCCCACCCTATTGAGGGGTCCCTTCATAACCCCCTTAGGATATAAAAAATGGGATCCCCTTTGGATGCAATTTGTGGAGGTTACCCCTGAGGATATCTTACTAACACCTTTAGGATATCGCTTTTTCCCTCTTGGATATCAGCAAAACACCTAATTTTTGCCATTTTTAAAAAAATCTCTCAAGCTACCCTGTAGGATAATTTAAGATGAAGACATTTATAAATCTTAATTATACATTTGTTTTGTTCAGTGTTGATCCAAATACGGAGCCACAAGATGAACCCAAATTCATTGTGTTTTTTGGCATGCTTCTTGGTCTATTCAGCATGTTCTGCTTCAAATGCAAGTCAAAGAATCCAACTGCAACCGTTAAAAGAATTGGCACCATGGCAACTGTGGTACAATCATGCAAGAAATGTGGTGATAATTTTGTATGGAGAAGTCAGCCCCTTATTCAAGGACGACACCCAGCTGGAAACATAATGTTAAGTTTTAGCATCTTGATGTCTGGTGTAAACATCAGTCAAGCTTTTTTGATGTTTAAGCACCTTGGCCTAAAAGTAATTTCCCCTCGAACATACTTTTTCCACCAGAAGAAATTCCTGTTTCCAGCAGTCTTCCTCCACTGGGAAAAATATCAAAAGGCTTTGCTGGATAAAATCAAGGGTTTGACAGGTGCTGTTGAATGGTCGGGAGATGGCCGATTCGACTCAATGGGGCACAATGCAAAATATGGAGTATATACCATGTTTTGTAATTCAATTTCAAAGTTGGTGCACTTTGAGTTATTGCAGGTATAATCTCAGATTGCAGTATACTATAGTCACCTGATTATGCAAAATATATTGTCTATTGCAAAAAGCATTATTTTTATACACTAGCTCTCAAATAGTAAAACATCTTTTTAAAAGCAATGCTAAATATAACTATGTTTTCTTATCTCCAAAAGGCAAATCAAACAGGGAACAGTAACGCGATGGAACTGGCTGGGGCTAAATCCTATTTCAAGTATCTCCAAAATCTGGGCATAAAAGTTTCCACGTTTGTAAGCGACAGGCATAAGGGCATCGCAAAATGGATACGTGAAAGCCAACCTGACACTCGCCATTTCAATGACCTATGGCATGTCGTGAAAGGAATCACAAAGAAACTAATAACAGCTGGAAAAGAGAAAGGAAATGAAAAGTTG